TCTTGAGAATAACGATGGGCCGGAAACTATACAAAAATATGAAGGGTAGATCGAAATGAATATAAAACTAAGCAAATCTTTCACTGGCTTTCTAAAGTACAGTTGCGGTCAAAATAATAGAAATAGTTAGAAAACGGAGAAACATGTTGTGATCGGACGATTCCAAATATTTTTATATGTTGATACTGGATGCCGACAGTATTTGAGACGTCCACGTCTAAGATATAGGATTCAAAATGTAATGGATGCCGCACAATGGTGCACTATATTATGATTCTGTATGAGAATATGAAATGAATATAGAATAAAAATTTCAACAGAACAAAAATCCAAAACAGAGCAGACGATTGACAAAACAGTCGTTTCAGTACAACAATATAGATATTACCTCTCGCAGTCACCGGATCTAAATCCAATTGAAAATTGTAACTTCGAAAAGTGTAATTTAAGAAGAATACAATAAATCAATTTTAATACAATATTTTCAAAATACAAAAGTTTTTGATATTATTACAATATTGATAGCAAAGCAATTGGTAATGTTTTAACTATAATTTTGCCAGAAAACTTTAAGCGATTTCAAAAAAAGAAAATGGGTTTCTTCAGTGGGAATATTTGAATACATTACGCTGCTATTATTTGACCGCAGCTGTATTTCCCATCGTTGAATATATTTTTTAATTAGAATGGAAAGGCTCTGAAAACTTAACTGTCACCAAAGCTGTATGGTCTGCAGAGCGTCAACAAGCTCATTAGAAATATTGACAAACAGGATTTTTAAAATAACAGATGTACTCATGTAGTACACTCGGCCTATCTGGGTTAATTAAGTTGCTCTTTTTGGGTGGTAAATGTCTAAAATTTTGTGTGAATACAGTAAAATCTCGATAATCCAGCATTGCTATTCCAGACTGTGTTTCACAACTCATTGTGTATTCTATAATCTGGATTGTTTGTCTCTATTTGACCATATAATCCGGATTATGAAGATAAATTATTTTTTAAGTTTTTTTTTTCGTATAAGAATTGTCGTATGGCACGAGCCAACATTTAGAATTATGAGCAGTGAATGTTTTGCTTATCAGTGCAGTGTTTTTTCCAGTAGGGAGGTCATGTAAAACGTAACCAATTTTAGTAAAAAATGTACCCTTTTTTATTTAAATCTCATATTTTTGCAATGGACCATTTTATTTGCTAATAAAAACATACAACTAGTTATATGATCTCTAAATTAATAAAAAAATTAACCAATTCTAAAATCTCTGTAATCCGGATTGGCGAGATTTAAGGTATATAATTTTTAAACGTATAAAGTTATACAATATATTATAACTTACCTTGATAACTCCTGACGCATCACATCTGAAATTAAAATCACCAAATATAAAAAATGGGACTAATCCATTTTCTTCATCCAGGTGAAACCTAATTAGAATAGTGCAAGCGACAAAATTTTTTATATTTTTTGTAATTGTTATAATCAATTAGAAGATACAACCAACCTTTCAATTGTATGCACTAATGCTCTTCTTCTTGTTCTACAATAAACTGATGGGAACTCCTCGGATGCAGCTAAATTTGAAGCATCATGAAAAAGGTGTATGTTGACTAGATCAAACACTGTATCATTAATATTCCAACGAGTACGCATGTATCCCTTCCTGGACCATTTACACTGCAAATAAAATGTTAATAAGTTGTTATAATTTTAATAGATCTACAAACCTCAGGAAAGAAATGTTGCGGAAATTTGGACTTCTCCTTACTAGATACAGTTTCTATGTTGCCTGAATAAATATCTCTTCCTTCAGCATTTTCCCAGGTACGAGTAAAAAAATTCCAAAGTCGTACGTTTTGAAAATTTTTGTGAATAAAGTAAATATTTCCAAGTGCCTTAAAATATAAACGGAAATATATGTAAGTATTGTATACAAATAACAACATTTGTTGTGGCAATAGTCATGACACAATAATAAACGTAGAATTAGTTGACGAAATTAATAAAAATGTTGCCTATTTACATATAAAAAACATATCCAACAAGTTGTTTTTTTATTATATGAAAAATGAACGGAAAATCAAGTTTTTGTTCGCTTTTTTCTTTTCTTTTCAAATGCTGAAATGTTGAATTTTAATTACAACTGAATTTGAAAATATATTTATTTTTGTTTTGTATTTTTCCATGAGCTTACCTCTTGTTATTGTACCATGGCAGTAGTCATTCTTACTTACATGAATGGAAATCTAGTACATACAGTGGCGGCACACAAATTAGAAACAAACTTAAGAAAGTAGTTTGCATGCATTTTTTGTCGAGAAAAGACAGATTTTTATAATTTGTACATCAATTTGAAGGTATATTTTAGTACATCCTGTGCCAATTTTCATTTCCTATTCTTCTAACAAAATTGTTTTCTACGGGGATTTTAATGACAAGTGTGTCATTTTTACAAGGAAAAAATAATACATATAAACAAAAATTTATGTGCAAATTATAAAAATTCTCCTTTCCATTCCGATACAAAATCCATGCAAACTACTTTGACTGTACCTGCGTCTACATCTTCAGTAGTGTTGGCGAGTTATTTGGCAAAAGGATGGAAAAGTGAAAAGCCATCTGTAGAGAAAAGGTTCTTTGGAATAACCTTGGTTCGAATTTTCGTCTGGAAAGGGTTTAGGAAACCCCTAACTGTTTATTGTTCTGATGCAATTAGGTGCAACAACTTCAACAAATTAAAAGAACATTTTTATGACGGCAAACAATCGCATTGAACAATGTCAAAGACACAACGAATAATGGGAAGAAACCTTCGATTAAATTAATTAGCAGTTTATTATTTCACAACATAATTGTGTGCCTTTTTATTTAATTTCGATTTGTTATTTCCCAAAGTGGTCAATTATTTTATAAATATGCTTCTTCTCCTTTATTTCGTCCTTCAGATCATGCACACGATAAATTTGAAAAAAAATATTGTTCTTTGATAATTTTTATTAGAGTTATTCACTGTTAAGCGGCTATGTGGTTTTTCTATAATTGTTAATGTTTTTTTTTATGGAGAGACATATCCTCACATAAAATGTCTTTATTTCGGCCCCAAACTCGGCTTAAATATTCCTTATTGCCTTTATACCAAAGACATAGAAACTGTAAAGAATCGACAAAATACATTTTAACAAAATAGTTTATGAAAACATATCTAGGGGGAATCAAGCATAACAGAGGCATTTTAAGAATAAACACGCCAAACCGCGAAAATGTGTGTATAAAATTTAAATAAAATCTGATATCATAACAACAGAGGAAAAGCCATCTATTGAAAATTGTAGAAATCTATTGGAATTTTCGTTCTCGTTCACGTAGATCCTGAAACCTTCAATGATGGCGCCCGGTCCTAATATTCATGTCTTATGTGAGAGGATAAACGTCTTATGAGTTTCTTCTATCTGGGGAATATGAAAATATCCGCCATCAAATCACAACCACACTCTTCACCACGTGGACTGCTGAAATGAGCTCCCCACCAACTTTAACAAATTCGATAGAATTTTCAACTGTATTATAAAGTTCAGAAACTGCAAAAAAATAGTCTTTTGACTACCTTAGCGTCACTTTTTTAAAATATTCAATTCCTTAATAATAATTTAAAAATATATTAACATATATTTCATTTGTACGTCATGAGCAAATTCTAATTAATGTATATAGATCAAGGTATATTAAGAAGGTAACCGTATCAAACCAGCTGATGGGAACATTATATGTCATAACAATTTGTTGTTTTTTTTTCAAATCCATTTCCAAATAAAAATTGAACTACAAATTAAAAATAACGAAAAACAAGGGATAAAAAGAAAGGCATTAGACTTTTATAAGAAGACCATGGAATCGAAAACAAGACTTTGGGATCAAAAAAGATTTGGTTCGATGGGACCTTTTTATCTTCTCTGTATGATATTGTTTCTTCAAATTTCATGTGTGGGAATAAAAACACTACGGAAAAAATGGTCCAAATCTTGTTATCTCTCTATTCACCCGATGGCACCAACATTATTGCATTTAAGTCGCTCTTCTGATGTTACTTTTTATACAAAAATCAGATATTTACACAAACATTTACAATTTTAAAAATATTCAAAAGATAAACAAATAATTGTCATTTTCCAAAATGCTTAATTCTGATTGGTTCAAGGTAGATATACAAGGTAGCCGCATCGGCGAATTTCTACAACAAACATCGGTTGTTGTATTTTGATATGTCAAAAATATTTTGCCAAAACAAACAGAAGACACAAATTCTTGTAGAAAATGTTAATAAAAGTATTGCCAAAAAAGCTCTTCGAAATTCGGAGATTTTCATTCATAATTTTGTTTTTTAATTTTTTGGTTCAACATTACAACAACATTTTTGACATTTATTTGTCCAACAGCTGGGCCGATGCGGCTACCTTATTAAATATACCTTGACACAGACAATTGTTTTGAAGCAAAAAACTGTTTCGTAAATGCAGAAACTCTCGTCTGTCAGGGGTAAATATTAATTCAAATTAAGAAATTTTTAATGCAACACAAAATAACTATTTCAAGTAGAAATATTCTTACCAAAAATCTTTAATATTGGTCCACTTAATCAAATTAGCTGAAATTTTATATTTTGGATCCTCGTCGGTTGCTACCATTTTTGAGAATTTGCAGTTATCGACAATCGTCGGCAATTCTGCCGTTAAACATTTTCAGCATAGCATTATAGACATGTTATTCAAACCTGATGTTGGATATACTTTATTGTTTTTTATGCTAATATTGTATTGTAACACTGTCTATATTAATTTGAATTTCGCTAATAAAAACACAGTATTTACAGAAATGTTGTATTAATATATTTGCAAGGTGGATTTCTTTCTTCAATAATCTAGTTGAGAACTATATGGATATTTTAATGTAATAATATATAATGTAACAATTTATTACTAGAAATAATCAGTTATTTTAATATTCGTTTAAGCCCAAACTCGAATTGTATAATCCCAGCTTCCAGTTGAAAGAGCAGTACCATCAGGTGAAACTTGAACACAAGATACTTTATTCTCGTGGCCATATAGTAGACAAATTCGCTCCGATTTTAATGTATCCCATAAGTTAACAGTATAATCGTTGTATCCGGCAAATAATAAACGTCCGCTTACAGAGAAATCAACAGAATTTACACCAAATATAATACTTTCTTTGGAAAAAACAGCCACTTCACGATCGGCGCGCATATCAAACAAACGACAACTGCTGTCATCGGAGCCAGTAGCTATAGCATCGCCACTTGGATGGAACTTTACACTATTCACATCTGATTGATGTCCTTCAAACGATTGCACTACTTGACCAGAACGCATATCCCATATAAAAGCCATTCTATCACAACTACCCGATACAAAGGTGTTTCCAGTTTCGTTTGGTGCCAGATCAATAGCCATGACATCGCCCGAGTGTCCGTGAAAGCTTTGCAAAAGTTGACCTGACTCGACGTCCCACAATGCACAAGTAGAATCACCACTTCCCGTTAAAATTTGTTGATCAGAATTGGGATATATACAACAAGACATATAGCTGGTATGTGTTCCAACAGTTCTCTTTTTTGCAGCCATTTCCTCATCCGAAGTTATAGGATAGACCGTAACCTTATTATCTAAACCTCCACAGGCTACATAATTTCCAGAAGGTGCATATGCACAAGCCATTATCCAAGTTGTTGGCATGGTGACGGCATGTTCCTTATTTGTGGTAAAAGCATCCCATATAATCAGTCGACCATCTTGTGACGAGGAAATTATATGACGCTTATCGGGACTCCAATCTGTACACAATACTTTGGCCTGATGGCCCTTTAAGACTTTACGAGGCTTGATGTTAACAAATGCTATTTGCTCCAAACGTTCTGCTATTGATGACAAACTAACGTCATTCAATTTTTGACGTTCTTCCTCTAACTTAGATTTCAAACTTTCAGCTTCCTTCATTAAACTTGACATTTTATCGTTGACATTTGTTTGAGAATGTACCTCAGACATTATTAGTTAGTTAAGATAAAATAACTATAATTTTTATTCCAAGAGCAACTTCCAATTGTCTTTCCAAATGAAAGTAAAATCAATAAATACAAAAGTATATACCCAATTTTAGACATGCGCAGTTCTACCGTACGGTTTTATGTATCGTGTGGATTCTACATTGATGTACAACGTAAACTATCGAATGATGTATACAGAACCGCAGTAAAGCAAATATAATTTAGAATATCGAATTTATTCGAATTAAAACTGGTCAATGTCATACAAAACAAAAAGTATTTTGGTAAATGTGTTTACCTATTAGTAAATATGTCAGTTTCAGAGCCTGCAAGAATGTAAATATTTTTACTACGATAACAATTTTTTTATGATATCGAAAAATTATTAGATTTTTTGTTTCGGGAACAAACAAATATTTTTTTGAATTTACAACGTTGCCTAAATTCTAACGAGGCGCACAAAAATATTCAACTTCCCCACTATGGCGAAATGTTCTGTACGGCCGTATTGTCCAAATACGTCCATATCTCTTAACGAGCTTAACAAAACTGAGGAACAAACTTAAAAAAATTTAAAATGTGTCCAATTATTTCATATTCTTATTGAAAAATTCATAATTTGTTTATTTTTTGTTTCATTTTGAAGAAATGAAAAAATAAAAAACAAAAATATGTTCTGTAATAGTCGAATTTTTCAACTTTGAAAATTCGTACGTCGAGTAGTTGAATTTCACTGCCTTACCTAAAATTCAACTAGCTCGTTTGACGTTTTTCACCACAAAAGTGGAACACATGTATTTATATGAATGTTACCGAAATACGTCGAACGTACAAAATTTCAAGTTCAACAATTTCAACTTTGACAGAACATATTTTTCATTTTTTTCTTTTGTTGAAAACCAAAACTAAACATTCTGGAAATTTAAAATTTCGAATGGAAACTAAAAATATGTGGATTATTTTAATAATTTTTCAATTTTGTTTTGCGGTTTGTATTATTTGCTTGAAGATATGGATTCGACGTATTTGGGTAATACGGCCGTACACAATATTTTGCCATAGTGGGGAAGTTGAATATTTTTGAACGTCCCGTCGGATTTTGTTAACGTTGTTAGGTAGTGCTCTTACAACCTTACCTAAATTCCAACGAGGCGTACACAAATATTCAACTTCCCCACTATGGTGAAATGTTTCGTACGACCGTATTACCTAAATACGTCGAGTCCATATCTCTTAGTCTAGGTTTATACATGCAACCTTTTTAAGCAACTCTGTTGCTGCTCTCTACGATTCTATTTTGAATTTCTTCCCCTTGTCACTTTTTATACCACTCACTTCTAAGAGAGTTGCTTAAAAAAGTTGCATGTATAAACCCAGACTTAGCAAACTAAACAAAATCGATGAACAAACATGAAAAATTATAAAATGTGTCCAATTATTTCATATTCTTGTTGAAAAGTTCACATTTTCTTTATATTTTGTTTCTTTTTGTTTCAACAAATGAAGAGAGAGTTTGTTTATTGTTTATTATTAAAAATAAATGTCCATACAGTTCTACCTGATACTTCCAAATACCGGGTTGACAATAGCTGTAAAACTTATTTTTTATTTATTTTTAACAAAAAGTATTTTTTTTTTTGTTAAAAATTAGTATTTTTTTAATAAAAATAATAATAATGTACTTTGACAGAAAACCCCTGGCTACGAACCGACCTTATATAGGCCTTGGTATTGAATGACATGTCAAATAAATTATGCCACATATCGAAAACTTGAGTAATTTTTTTGTTTATCCCTTATTTGTGTTTTGTTTTGTACGCTAATTAGAAACAAGGGGAAAGAAATGCATATTGCATTAAGTAGATAACAAAATTTAAATCATTTTGCATATATGAAAACTAAACAATTTTTTACTTGTCGTTCACCATTTTCAATTTATTGAAAAAATTATTAATTTTATTAATATTTTCATGCTGTCAAAATTAATTCATGTTCGATAAATACTCTCAATTTTTAGGGATGGTACAAATTTATTTATTTTATTTTATTTAATTAATTCATAATGTAACATCAGAGCCTCATGAGGCCATACAAATGTATTACATACACAATAAACTGCCTAAAACTCAACATAATTCATATATTCTTGTGGATTTTTGTTTTGGCTCTAGGTCAATTGAAAAACTCGTTGCTTATGTTTTTCTTTTTTGTTTATTTTTATTTTCCAATATTTCGACTGTCTTCGGCAGTCATCTTCAGGGAAATACTACAAAACATACAAATATTTTTAAGATATAGACTTAATTGTATTGCACAGATCTTACTTTTTTTGAGAAAAGCAACCGATTTTCATCACCGTCTATGCTAAACTAAGTTTTTCTTTTTTCTCGTCTGTGCTTATGAATTATGTTTCTATAAATATGTGCACAGTGGTCCGTGTCAGTCTTATAATTCATTCTTCTATCGTTAGGTACATTAATTATGTTTAACATTTCTAATGTGAATCGTCGTTTATAATTATTTTCTTGTGTCAATATGTCTACGTCTTTAAAATTCGGTGTATGACCAGTTTTTGTGCAATGTGCAGCAAGCGCCGTTTTTTGCTCTAAAGGTTTGTCTGAATTTTGATCTGACTTATGTCCAGAAAGTCTAGTCTTAAGTTTAGTTTTTGTTGTACCAACATATACCTTTTGGCATACGTTGGATTTGTCCCCATTACATTTTATCTTATACACTACATTGCATTTGTCTTCCTTTTTAATTTTTGATTTTGTTTTGCTGAACAGGCTATTGACGGTATTCTTCGATTTTAAGGCTAATTGATAATTGTTCTTGTCATATATATTGGAATTACGCAATCTCTCAGACAGTCCAGGTATATAAGTCAATGTTTTGTATGCTTTTTCCTCTTCTTTCTTCTTTTCGTTCTTGTGATTGGATGTTTTTAGTAATTCGTCAATAGTTCTCTGTGGGAAATCATTTTTCCTCAGTATATTACGTATCCTTTCTTTGTTATTTTTGTGGAATTGTTCGTCGCTAATATCAAGTACTCTGTTGATGAAGTTTGTGGCCGTATTTATTTTTATTCGTCTAGGGTGCTTAGAGTAAAAGTTTATTAATCGTCCAGATGCGGTGGGCTTTTGGTACCAATCTATTGTTAGTGTTTGGCCCTGTCGGATTATTATTGCGTCAAGATAAGGTAATTTTTCGTTTTCTTCCAATTCGTGCGTAAATTGCACATGTTTGTCAAAGGAGTTCAGGATATTTAATGTATTCTCGATCTCTGTTCTTTTCACTATGCAAAGTATATCGTCTACATATTTCGTAACTAATTTTGGTTTATTTGTCAATTTCTCCATTGAAGCGTCCAATAACTCCTCCATTACTATATCTGCAATAATCGGTGACGCTGGAGAGCCCATTGGAAGTCCTTTCCGCTGTTCGTACACCTTGTCCTCATATATGAAATATCTTGAGTCTTTTATACAAAGAGTCAATATTTCGATGAAGAGGTCCTGTGGTATTTTTGTGTATTCCTTAATTATGTTCCATTTTTCCGTGATTGTCCTCAATGCTAAATTTATAGGTATACTAGGAAATAGCGAGATAACGTCAAATGATAGTAGAACTTCGTCTTCGTCAATATTTATATCTTTAATTTTTCTTTTCATTTCAACGGCGTCTTTAATGTTATATATAGAATCTTTAGTTAAATTCTTTAAAATATCCACTATGTATTTTGAGAGCTTATATGTTGGGGAGTTAATGGATGAGCATATTGGTCTAAGTGGTATTCCTTCCTTATGTATTTTGGGTAGTCCGTAAATTCGTGGTGCAATTGCTGTGTATGTCATTATTTTGTTCTTCTTATATATATTTAAAATGTTCATACTGTATAATTTTTCGGTAAGCTTATTGTTTTTGTTTTGTAAATTAGATGTTGGGTCCCGTTTTAATCTTTTATATGTACACATGTCTCGTAATATATCCTTCATTTTTGTTCCATAGTCGGTTTTGTACATAGCCACTGGTTTTCCCCCTTTATCCGCATTCAATATTAAAACCTCTTTGTTTTGTTTCAAAAATTGTTTTGTTCTATCCACTGTGTCAATTATCATCTTATCTCTTATACTCAAGTTTGTCCGTTGTAAGTGGTCGTCTATTAGAGAGACTAGTTTTATTCTCGCGTTTTCCTGATTTTCTTTGTTACTCAATGTTTGTACGCATTCTTCGCTCTCTGCTATTACGTCTAATAAAGGGAATGTTGTTTTTGTTGTTGGACATGCATATTTCGGTCCCAACGAAAGAAGCCACTGAACATCGTTAGGTATGTTTGTGTTAGTGTTGTTTGTAAACCACTCATTGTTATGTTTTATGTTAAGTTCTTTTTGTTGTTTTTGGATCAGTGCTTGGTATTTGTTGATTTGAATTGTTTTTCTCTTGTTGTTATAGCTATTATGGACAATGTTCTCACTCTCCATAAAACTGTAAAAGTCATTCTCGTCCATTGTTTGTTGAAGTGTTTCTTTTGTCTGAGAGAGTACTGTTCTGTTTTTGTGTAGTTCTCTATGTTTTTGTTGTATAAGTCCCTGAAGATGACTGCCTAAGACAGTCGAAATATTGGAAAATAAAAATAAACAAAAAAAGAAAAACATAACCAACGAGTTTTTCAATTGACCTAGAGCCAAAACAAAACTCCACAAGAATTAACATATCACAGGTCAACAATAACAACAACAACATACACACACGGAAGGCACTCCGCAAATTCAAGAAGAAGAAAAATACTGAAAAATGCATTTATACAAAGAGATAAGACGAAAGTATAACACAGAAACGATCAACAAAACAAAACAATATTCAAAATGTAACAGGCAAACAGCAGCTCTAACCACAACAACAACATTTTTGATCAAATGCAGAAACATGGGTATTATACCAAATTTTATAAATAACACAACAAAAAACACATACAAATTTATTAGCGTTGCTCAAAAAGCACAACTACAATTTTCAGTTTAACCCTTTCAGTGTCAAAAAATTTTTTTTGTCGGAAAAAAATCTAAAGTTTTGTACTGAAAATTGTATGAAGGCACATAGTTTAGAAATAAAAGCAATTCTTATTTTAACCCTCGGACAGTTTTGTCTGTCTTTCAGCAAAAACAAAGACATCAATTGTAACGGTACATAGGATAACCGTAAATTTGCAAAGGAAGAGAGTAATTTTAAATGTCGAATATATTCGACAAAAACACTGAAAGGGTTAAAATACTCAAACTTCTTATACAACAAAAACATAGAGAACTACACAAAAACAGAACAGTACTCTCTCAGACAAAAGAAACACTTCAACAAACAATGGACGAGAATGACTTACAGTTTTATGGAGAGCGAGAACATTCTCCATAATAGCTATAACAACAAATACCAAGCACTGATCCAAAAACAACAAAAAGAACTTAACATAAAACATAACAATGAGTGGTTTACAAACAACACTAACACAAACATACCTAACGATGTTCAGTGGCTTCTTTCGTTGGGACCGAAATATGCATGTCCAACAACAAAAACAACATTCCCTTTATTAGACGTAATAGCAGAGAGCGAAGAATGCGTACAAACATTGAGTAACAAAGAAGATCAGGAAAACGCGAGAATAAAACTAGTCTCTCTAATTGACGACCACTTACAACGGACAAACTTGAGTATAAGAGATAAGATGATAATTGACACAGTGGATAGAACAAAACAATTTTTGAAACAAAACAAAGAGGTTTTAATATTGAATGCGGATAAAGGGGGAAAAACAGTGGCTATGTACAAAACCGACTATGGAACAAAAATGAAGGATATATTACGAGACATGTGTACATATAAAGGATTAAAACGGGACCCAACATCTAATTTACAAAACAATAAGCTTACCGAAAAATTATACGGTATGAACATTTTAAATATATATGAGAAGAACAAAATAATGACATACACAGCAATTGCACCACGAATTTACGGACTACCCAAAATACATAAGGAAGGAATACCACTTAGACCAATATGCTCATCCATTAACTCCCCAACATATAAGCTCTCAAAATACATAGTGGATATTTTAAAGAATTTAACTAAAGATTCTATATATAACATTAAAGACGCCGTTGAAATGAAAAGAAAAATTAAAGATATAAATATTGACGAAGACGAAGTTCTACTATCATTTGACGTTATCTCGCTATTTCCTAGTATACCTATAAATTTAGCATTGAGGACAATCACGGAAAAATGGAACATAATTAAGGAATACACAAAAATACCACAGGACCTCTTCATCGAAATATTGACTCTTTGTATAAAAGACTCAAGATATTTCATATATGAGGACAAGGTGTACGAACAGCGGAGAGGACTTCCAATGGGCTCTCCAGCGTCACCGATTATTGCAGATATAGTAATGGAGGAGTTATTGGACGCTTCAATGGAGAAATTGTCAAATAAACAAAAATTAGTTACGAAATATGTAGACGATATACTTTGCATAGTGAAATAACAGAGATCGAGAATACATTAAATATCCTGAACTCCTTTGACAAACATGTGCAATTTACGCACGAATTGGAAGAAAACGAAAAATTACCTTATCTTGACGCAATAATAATCCGACAGGGCCAAACACTAACAATAGATTGGTACCAAAAGCCCACCGCATCTGGACGATTAATAAACTTTTACTCTAAGCACCCTAGACGAATAAAAATAAATACGGCCACAAACTTCATCAACAGAGTACTTGATATTAGCGACGAACAATTCCACAAAAATAACAAAGAAAGGATACGTAATATACTGAGGAAAAATGATTTCCCACAAAAAAGGAAGACAAATGCAATGTAGTGTATAAGATAAAATGTAATGGGGACAAATCCATCGTATGCCAAAAGGTATATGTTGGTACAACAAAAACTAAACTTAAGACTAGACTTTCTGGACATAAGTCAGATCAAAATTCAGACAAACCTTTAGAGCAAAAAACGGCGCTTGCTGCACATTGCACAAAAACTGGACATACACCGAATTTTAAAGACGTAGACATATTGACACAAGAAAATAATTATAAATGACGATTCACATTAGAAATGTTAAACATAATTAATGTACCTAACGATAGAAGAATGAATTATAAGACTAACACGGACCACTGTGCACATATTTATAGAAACATAATTCATAAGCACAGACGAGAAAAAAGAAAAACTTAGTTTAGCATAGACGGTGATGAAAATCAGTTGCTTTTCTCAAAAAAAGTAAGATCTGTGCAATACAATTAAGTCTATATCTTAAAAATATTTGTATGTTTTGTAGTATTTCCCTGAAGATGACTGCCGAAGACAGTCGAAATATTGGAAAATAAAAATAAACAAAAAAGAAAAACATAACCAACGAGTTTTTCAATTGACCTAGAGCCAAAACAAAAATCCACAAGAATTAACATATCACAGGTCAACAATAACAACAACAACATAATTCATATATAATAAAAAAAATCAAAAATTTATAATTATCAAACTAAGATAACTATAACTGGTTCCCCAAACAACAAAAAATGTAAGAAATATATATAATTGAAAAAAAAACAACCGTCCAATTAGTAACACATATGGATAAATCGAAATAACAAGGCATTATTAAAAAAAAAAATCATTGATCGTATCTAAGAATGCAAATAAAAATCTGTAATTTTTCTTCGAAAAACATTGTTAGTGTGGGAGAAAATTCGTAATTCTAAAGGAAGTTGATTCCATATCCTAGCAACACGAATAATAAAGGATCGCTCGAAAATAGAGCATGTTATCCTTGGAATAACTACATTAGGATTCCTAGATGATCGAGAAAAACTAAATGATTGACGAAAAATACTCGGAATTCCACTTCTAATCATCTTATAGAAAAATTGTAAATTACATACATTCACAAAATTTGCAAAAGAGGTGCCCAAAAAGCACTGTACATATTCAGAGACATGATCACGCCTCTTCAGATTATAGACATAACGGACCACTCTGCAAATTTGAAGATAAAGTTCCAGAAGTAATTTCCAGACCATATCGTATACTAGGCATTAGTATACCATGAGCCAATCTCTGTTTCACCCGCAAAGGAATATGGACACAGTTAGAATAAATTCTACGCAAGGTAGAGTAAACTCTGGAATAAACTAAGTTCACATGATATCCAAAATCCAAATGCCTGTCAAGAAGAACACCTAGGCACATATGCTTATCTACGAATTCAATTTTGTCCTGATCTAAAAATACATTAAGGCTAAAAGTATAATTGCCAAACAAAATCGCCTTGGTTTTACTAGGGTTAATTACAAATGGATTTCTTCTCGTCCAATCCAAAGTCTTTCCCAAACAAAAATTGATTTTAGCCTGAAGGGTGTCAGGATTATCTAGTTGTGCGCTAAAAAGGAGAAAAATGTCATGAGCATAGAAAAAGGGAGTACAAACATCATCACTTAAAAACCGCGAAAGATCATTGAGGTACAAAATTAAGATTAATGGGCCAAGGACAGAACCCTGTGGCACGCCTGAAGTCAAAGGAAGAATACTGGATTTCAAACCCTTAAACTCAACATATTGAGATCTGCCACAGAGATACGACAATACCAGACGACATGCAGAAGAAGAAAATTTAAATTGGTTATGTAGTTTATCAAACATAATATTGTATGATTTCTTGGTTATTCAGAGAGTAATTCGAATTGAATAATGTACAAAAGTCGGTGTTCGGTCAGACAATTTTGTATGTTGAACTAAGTAATTACTTCATGAACGACGCTTGTGTTAGAGGCGTTCCAGACGAACTTGTTAAAAACATAATTTTCGTTTCAATTAATCTTAAAGCGGTGTACACACTATCATTTTTGAGTGACACTTTCGATAACGATCGTTGTTGTTATTATTATTATAATTTATTCGAAATAAACAGAAAAACAAATAAAACAAAAAAATAAAATAATATTAAAAAATAAAACATATAAAACGAAAATTAAGCACGTCCTCATTTTTTATAAATAAAACAATAGACAGAGAGAATAGTATTAGCACCAGCAGTAGAAATTAAATTGAAAGAAGAAGAATAAACAAACAAATAGAATGGAAACGAGACGAGACGAGTAAAAAAGTCATAGGGCAGAGAAATGTGAAAGAATCTCCTTGCCTGTCTACTTTTGTGTTTTGGGATCACGATAAATACCAGTGAAGAGTACAGCCTTTGCGGTATTATCATAGATCAGGAACATAAATGGATGATTACATTCGAATTTGGTTGGTTCGGCGGGACGTGCTGAACGGAAACTGAAAACAACTGTGGCTGCTGCAGCAGTACTGCCCTCCTCATCAACCTTGATTTTGACAACATGTTCGGCATCACCAAACATCAGGCTTGTTTCCGTGGAGAAGCCATTCAAGTTTGCGGTATGCTCGATGCACAATTGCGTTGAATCGGTACCAATTTCAAATTCTCCACGTTTATGCCTCATGATTACGAAAGAATACTGGCTAGGGTTGGTATAGAAAATCTCCTGTTTTGTATCTTTGGCATCGAATTTATCCGACCATTGAACCTTGAAATAGGCAGCATTAGCCAATACCATTTGACTGTCGGAGGTAACATCGCAGGGATTTAACATTTCGGGGATTTTATTGTGTGTTACATTGGCAATCCAGTTGTTGATTTCCATGCGTCCCTCTTCGGCTTTGGTTCTGAAGTCCAACGATTCAAGTTCATCTTGGAAATTCTCCTTCATGCAGGCAGCCAAATTAATGGACTTATCGAAGTAGATACGATCGGCAGCGGTGAATTCCAAAGGCATTTTCTTGATACGGCTGTAGCGCATTTGTTTCTCCAGGCGATAGCCATTGTTGACATGTTTCTTGTTCTTGGCCCATTGCAGACGTATTTTCTTGGTACGGCTGTAGCGCATTTGTTTCTCCAGGCTATAACCATTGTTGACATGTTTCTTGTTCTTGGCCCATTGCAGCTCCTCAGTGTTGATATGCTATCGGTTGGTTTCTCATAGCTCTGGAGAATTTATGTAGCAGTTCTCCATACGATTTCATTTTAATGTCGCGTGACTGATACTCTGGACTGGTTATGTCCCAGAGACACCGTTGCATTTCATAGCAACATAGGAATTCTTTTACAAATTCGTTTTCGTCCATATTATTGTTGAAATTTATTGTCTGACTGTCGTTTTTTTTTGTTCACATTATCGAACCAACAAACATCCAACATCTGAATGTCACGCAACCATAAATTTTTTTGTGTTGCCTGATGACTAGACTTCGGATTTTTGCATATTTTTTATGCTTTATGCCATGTACAGACGAGCGTCGTTCGCTCTCTCATTCGTTGTTCGACTATGAAGTAATTACTTAGTTCCCCATACAAAATTTTCTGAGCGAACACCGACTTTTGTACGTTGTTCAATTCGAATCACTCTCTGAATAACCAAGAATTTTGTCCCATCCCTAACATTTGAGAGTATTTATCGAAAATAAATTAATTTTGAAAGTTTGAAAATATTTATGAAATTTTCAAAATTTTTTCTGTAAAATTGAAAATGATGAATGAAAAGTAACAAATTGTCTAGTTTTTATATATGCAGAAAGAAGTAAATTTTGTGATCTACATAATGCAATATGCTTTTCATTCCCTTTTGTTCTAATTAGCGTACAAAACGAGAAACAAATGTGGGGAAACCCAAACAAAAATTCTCCAATTTGTTATATGTCACATTTGAATTGAGAAAATATAAAAATTTATTCATAGCAACAATATTTTCGGAAAAAAATGGAAAACATGAATTAAAAGCAAATAGATATAGGTTCATACTATAGTCAGGAGAAAGAGAATTATTTTTTCTGTTTAGATCCATATGAGATTCACGCAAATATGTTAACATTTTGGTATAAAACAAGAAACAAAAAGTTTGAAATAAAAAAACTCTAATGACATGAATTAAGAATAGTGCTGTATGAACGGGTTCAATTCAAGAACAAAGAAAGGATACGAAATATACTTAGGAAAAATGATTTCCCACAGAGAACTATTAACGAATTACTAAAAACATCCAATCACAAGAACGAAAAGGAGAAAGAAGAGGAAAAAGCATACAAAACATTGACTTATATACCTGGACTGTCTGAGAGATTGCGTAATTCCAATATATATGACAAGAACAATTATCAATTAGCCTTAAAATCGAAGAATACCGTCAATAGCCTGTTTAGCAAAACAAAATCAAAAATTAAAAAGGAAGACAAATGCAATGTAGTGTATAAGATAAAATGTAATGGGGACAAATCCAACGTATGCCAAAAGGTATATGTTGGTACAACAAAAACTAAACTTAAGACTAGACTTTCTGGACATAAGTCAGATCAAAATTCAGACAAACCTTTAGAGCAAAAAACGGCGCTTGCTGCACATTGCACAAAAACTGGACATACACCGAATTTTAAAGACGTAGACATATTGACACAAGAAAATAATTATAATCGACGATTCACATTAGAAATGTTAAACATAATTAATGTACCTAACGATAGAAGAATGAATTATAAGACTGACACGGACCACTGTGCACATATTTATAGAAACATAATTCATAAGCACAGACGAGAAAAAAGAAAAACTTGGTTTAGCATAGACGGTGATGAAAATCGGTTGCTTTTCTCAAAAAAAGTAAGATCTGTGCTATACAATTAAGTCTATATCTTAAAAATATTTGTATGTTTTGTAGTATTTCCCTGAAGATGACTGCCGAAGACAGTCGAAATATTGGAAAATAAAAATAAACAAAAAAGAAAAACATAACATTGTTAGTGTGGGAGAAAATTCGTAACTCTAAAGGAAGTTGATTCCATATCCTAGCAACACGAATAATAAAGGATCGCTCGAAAATAGAGCATGTTATCCTTGGAATAACTACATTAGGATTCCTAGATGATCGAGAAAAACTGAATGATTGATGAAAAATACTCGGAATTCCACTTCTAATCGTCTTATAGAAAAATTGTAAATTACATACATTCACAAAATTTGCAAAAGAGGTGCCCAAAAAGCACTGTACATATTCAGAGACATGATCACGCTTCTTCAGATTATAGACATAACGGACCACTGAGTTAATTAGTCGCTTCAACCTCTGCAAATTTGAAGATAAAGTTCCAGAAGTAATTTCCAGACCATATCGTATACTAGGCATTAGTATACCATGAGCCAATCTCTGTTTCACCCGCAAAGGAATATGGACACAGTTAGAATAAATTCTACGCAAGGTAGAGTAAACTCTGGAATAAACTAAGTTCACATGATATCCAAAATCCAAATGCCTGTCAAGAAGAACACCTAGGCACATATGCTTATCTACGAATTCAATTTTGTCCTGATCTAAAAATACATTAAGGCTAAAAGTATAATTGCCAAACAAAATCGCCTTGGTTTTACTAGGGTTAATTACAAATGGATTTCTTCTCGTCCAATCCAAAGTCTTTCCCAAACAAAAATTGATTTTAGCCTGAAGGGTGTCAGGATTATCTAGTTGTGCGCTAAAAAGGAGAAAAATGTCATCAGCATAGAAAAAGGGAGTACAAACATCATCACTTAAATATTGAGATCTGCCACAGAGATACGACAATACCAGACGACATGCAGAAGAAGAAAATTTAAATTGGTTATGTAGTTTATCAAACATAATATTGTATGATTTCTTGGTTATGCAGAGAGTAATTCGAATTGAATAATGTACAAAAGTCGGTGTTCGGTCAGACAATTTTGTATGTTGAACTAAGTAATTACTTCATGAACAACGCTTGTGTTAGAGGCGTTCCAGACGAACTTGTTAAAAACATAATTTTCATTTCAATTAATCTTAAAGCGGTGTACACACTATCATTTTTGAGTGACACTTTCGATAACTTATCGGTTGTTACAGTTTTGTTGTGTTGTTTGTAGCGGACATATTATCATTCATGCCTTTTTTCAATCCGATATTCAAATTTATAAATTGTGCTAATAAGACGCCGTATAAAAGAAATATATTAATAAAAATGAATGATAAAAAATTGGATGTGAATTTTTAATAATAATAATCAAAAATAGGCTTTGAATTTTATTGGCTTCTTAATGAAATCCCGGTCTCACAATTTTTTTTTTTAAATTGTCATTCGGATCATAAATGTGACCCGTACTTTGTTTACAATTTAACATTAATAGACGACGGTCATGCATAAATCTACTCAGAAAGTGATTCTGTTCATGTTTTCAAAAAGAACCATGTATATACATCCTTTTTTCATTTTGTTGTTGTATAAATTACCCCAACGATCGTTGTTGTTATTATTATTACAATTTATTCGAAATAAACAGTAAAACAAATAAAACAAAAAAATAAAATAATATTAAAAAATAAAACATATAAAACGAAAATTAAGCACGTCCTCATTTTTTATAAATAAAACAATAGACAGAGAGAATAGTATTAGCACCAGCAGTAGAAATTAAATTGAAAGAAGAAGAATAAACAAACAAATAGAATGGAAACGAGACGAGACGAGTAAAAAAGTCATAGGGCAGAGAAATGTGAAAGAATCTCCTTGCCTGTCTACTTTTGTGTTTTGGGATCACGATAAATGCCAGTGAAGAGTACAGCCTTTGCGGTATTATCATAGATCAGGAACATAAATGGATGATTACATTCGAATTTGGTTGGTTCGGCGGGACGTGCTGAACGGAAACTGAAAACAACTGTGGCTGCTGCAGCAGTACTGCCCTCCTCATCAACCTTGATTTTGACAACATGTTCGGCATCACCAAACATCAGGCTTGTTTCCGTGGAGAAGCCATTCAAGTTTGCGGTATGCTCGATGCACAATTGCGTTGAATCGGTACCAATTTCAAATTCTCCACGTTTATGCCTCATGATTACGAAAGAATACTGGCTAGGGTTGGTATAGAAAATCTCCTGTTTTGTATCTTTGGCATCGAATTTATCCGACCATTGAACCTTGAAATAGGCAGCATTAGCCAAAACCATTTGACTGTCGGAGGTAACATCGCAGGGATTTAACATTTCGGGGATTTTATTGCGTGTTACATTGGCAATCCAGTTGTTGATTTCCATGCGTCCCTCTTCGGCTTTGGTTCTGAAGTCCAACGATTCAAGTTCATCTTGGAAATTCTCCTTCATGCAGGCAGCCAAATTAATGGACTTATCGAAGTAGATACGATCGGCAGCGGTGAATTCAAAAGGCATTTTCTTGATACGGCTGTAGCGCATTTGTTTCTCCAGGCGATAGCCATTGTTGACATGTTTCTTGTTCTTGGCCCATTGCAGACGTATTTTCTTGGTACGGCTGTAGCGCATTTGTTTCTCCAGGCTATAACCATTGTTGACATGTTTCTTGTTCTTGGCCCATTGCAGCTCCTCAGTGTTGATATGCTATCGGTTGGTTTCTCATAGCTCTGGAGAATTTATGTAGCAGTTCTCCATACGATTTCATTTTAATGTCGCGTGACTGATACTCTGGACTGGTTATGTCCCAGAGACACCGTTGCATTTCATAGCAACATAGGAATTCTTTTACAAATTCGTTTTCGTCCATATTATTGTTGAAATTTATTGTCTGACTGTCGTTTTTTTTGTTCACATTATCGAACCAACAAACATCCAACATCTGAATGTCACGCAACCATAAATTTTTTTGTGGTTGCCTGATGACTAGACTTCGGATTTTTGCATATTTTTTATGCTTTATGCCATGTACAGACGAGCGTCGTTCGCTCTCTCATTCGTTGTTCGACCCCTAACTATGAAGTAATTACTTAGTTCCCCATACAACATTTTCTGAGCGAACACCGACTTTTGTACGTTGTTCAATTCGAATCACTCTATGAATAACCAAGAATTTTGTCCCATCC